CTCCCTTGCTCTCTTGCTCTTTGCCGCTGCCATGAAAGGTTGCCCTCTGCTATGTGCTGCTCTGCGTTGGAGCCAGCTGAGTATGGACTGAAACCTCCAGTAACTGTGAGCTAAATAAACCTTTCCTTCCTTCATTTTGAGTGTCGGGTATTTGTCCCAACAACGAGAGAAGAGTAACTAAGACAATGAGTAAACTGCGAAGTCTCTCCCAGTACTTGATATTATAAGCCACAACCTGAATGCAGAAAGACAAGCCCTGGAGCGGGGTGTTCCAGGAAGAGGACAGCTGGCAAAGATGCAGTGAAGAAAGAGTCCTTAAAGTAATCAGGAAAAACAAGGAGCCTGGGGTTGTAACTCAGAGGTAGAGTCTGTTGTGGAGCTGTGGGTTCAATGCACATTGTAATGCCAGAAGAGACAAACAGGAAGAAACAAGTGAAGGAAGGAAAGAAAAGAGGAAAAATGAAGAGAGGGAGGGAAGAAAGGGAGAAAGGGAGGGCGGGAGGAAGAAGGGAAGAAAGGAAGACATGGAGCAGTGGCTGGAAGATGTTGCTGTAAGCAAGGGAGTGGAAAGAAAAGAGAACACAAAAAAGACGGGAACTGGAACTCCCATTTCTTACTTAGCTCAAGTAAGAAATGGGAGTTTCATTCCAAAGGATAGGAAGATACTTGCCCCCTTTCCTTCCACTCAGTCTCCAGTGCTGAGAGATGATCGGATCCACAAAGTTGGCATAGCTACTGTATGCCCGTGGCCTAGCAATAAGAGAGATGGTAAAAAGAGTGCCAAGATTGAGGTGGATTTTCAGGTTGACCAATGGGGTCCATGAGGAGGGATGTGGAAGAGAAGAAAGGAGAAGCTATGGAGAGTCCAGAAGAGCACTTCATCCAGACAGGGACTGGGGAATTCTTCAGAGATTGCTCTCTTTGATCCTGTCTCTTCAGTCCTTGAGCTCAGCTGAAAATGTACAGAGTTGGCGAGGAGAGGGAAGGAGACAAAATAAGGCTACAGAGGATAGAGCGGTTTGAATCAGTTTATTTTTCATAATGACCTTGCGAAAACAGAGCCTGGAACCCCTCACAGCTGGAGCTCCTCACAGTGTTGGGATCTCTGGGCGAGAAGGGATATAGTCAGTTTTAAGGAAGCAGGGCCCATGAGGAGCCTTGGAATTGTGAACTAAGGAGACCAACATGGAAGCTTCTGAACAACTAAGCTAAAAGATAAGGGCCAAAGCCAGGGCTTTTCCTGAAGAGGCACTTGCCCTCCAGGGGCATTGGAAAACATCTGAAGACCTTTTGGTTGTCACAGTGTTGAAAGACATTGTTGGCTCCCTGTAGTAAATGGAGGCTGGGGTGTAGCCATACAGCCATGGTGCACAGGGTGGCCCCACACAGCAGAGGTCATCAGATTTCAAATGTCAGTAGTGCCAGGATTGAGAACCTTAGCCTAAAAGAATGTGATGGTGCTGAGCCTCGAAGTCAGAGGGACAGGAGTTGGAGAAGGGTCAGGCCCAGAGGACTTATCAGAAGCAAGAAACCGTGGTCAGGCTTTGAAGGCAAGTGGAGGTCAGAACATGAAAAGAGCAGAAGAAATCTGTGGGCAACCAAAAGTGAGCTCAGCCTGACCACTGGGCCCTGGTGGAGGTGGCAGGGAGGTCCTGAGGGGGCCGGAGGAGGACGCGGCTGCACACGCAGCGCAGCTCTGCAGGGACCAAACCTTGGAAGGGAGTCGCTGAGGACATCAGCGTGTCAGGCCTGGACCCCTAGGAGTGAAGAGCTTCAGTCCTCAACGGGTTCAGCGCCCGTCCATGTGCAGACCAAGGCCTGGGAGCGTTCAGGAAGCGTCTGCCACCAGGCCTGGTTATCTTGCTCTTAACAGAAACGTTTCACTTATATTTTTTGCAGGAGCGAATAAAGGCCGATGAAGTGATTGCCATTCTGGACCGAGAACAGCAAGGGAAGCGTGAACTGAGCGTCAACCCCAAGGACGAGCTATGAAAACGGGAAAGAATGTTCTATCAGATATTTATTTAAGTTGTTAATCTAGAAGAACCTTTTTATTTTTGTACAGAGCCGTGGTATAAATTAACAGGTTAACACGAGCCCCTCCACCTCCCTTCAGTGCCTAGCGATGCTCGCTTCTGCTTCTGCCTGCCTTGGTTTTCTTCAGTTACCCTCAAAACCCAGTGAAGTTCACACACATCACACACACACACACACACACACACACACACACACAGAGGCAGCCCACCACACAAACACATACACACAACACAGCACATCAACCTATACACTACACTCAATACAGACACAGAGCAACACACAAACATACCAACACCCTACACGCAATTCACCATAAAACATGCAAAGACAGCCCAGCCATATGGCACATCACACAGACATGCAAATACCCACCATACATTAAAAAGGAATATATGAATGTATAAACACATCACAGCACAAACAAATGCACCTACAAACAATACACAAATATAAAGCACACAAAGGCAGAAGCATATGCCATATCCAAATAAGACAACATGCAGACACACACACATCACACAAACACCCACCATACAAATACACAAACTCTCACTGTATCATACAGAGATATATCCCACACCCAGAGACTGACCACATATGCACATACACTACACAAAAAAACCAACACACATACACACACACACACACACACACACACACAGGTCCCTGGGCATTCAGAGGTCAGAGGTCAGAGATAACAAGCTGTACCTTGGTGAAAGCGCACGCTCGTGGGTGCCCCAGTCCTAGAGTCCTGCATGCCTTGCTCTCTGCGGCCTGCCTGGCTCAGTGCCTTTCAGCAGCATCTCCCCGCTTCCCCCAGTGTCCTGTCCCTGAGCTCAGCCTGATCTGTTCCCAGTGCCAGCTCGGCTTCTCACAGCCTCTGGCAGAGCCCGCCTTGCCTAAGCCCGCAGGAGCATGGAGGGCACCCAGGCTCCTGGAAGGAGCCGCAAGTAGGACTGTACAACAGGGGTCCCCATTCTGTCCAGGGCCTCCGTGGTGGAGCTGTGGCTCTGGCGTTTTCATCAGGGAGGAAACTTACACTGGAAGCTTCAATCCTCCTGGGCGCCAGTGCCCCAGAAGGACTGTCCTGGGAGTGAGTTGTGTCTTTAAAGCGTCCCATAGAAGCTGAGGTGGAATGGCCTTGACTCTGTGGCTTCGGAAGATGACCTCAGTCCCCCGGACCATTGTGGAGCTGCAGCAGCACAGAAGCCACTGGTGAAGAGGAATCTTTGTGTTCGAGTCAGAAAATCACACCCCTGTGACTCCAGGCTTCATCTGCCATCCCCCATGGCCGCTCGCCAGCTCAGAGATCTGAGCTTTCTTTGCTTTGTTTAATAAAGGGACCCTTCCCTTAGTGTCTGCTTCTCACTGGTCTTCTTCCAAGGTGTGTTTTATCTTCAGATAGTGGTGTAACTCCCAAAGAAACTTCGGTGACAGCCCAGGAGCAATGCTGTCCTCGCAGGCAAGGGTCCACAGAAGGTGGGAACCTGCTCTGGAAGGGACAGAGGCCGCTGGTGAACTGAGTCCTGCGTCCTGAGAATGTTTGGTCCCTGAGCCCAGGGCTAAGCGGACGCTGCCAGGAACCACTCACTGGGTCTGGGCTTCTTTTACCCGCAGGGAGCCTGGCACGTGCTGAAGTGCCAGGAGATCACCTACTTCTTTGGGCGGTACTGGGAGAGGTAAATTTGCTTTCTGCTGTTTCTCATAATGGTTAGTGGTAAGAACATTCCTTCTCCAAAACAAATTGCCACAACCTGAGTTGTGCTGACTGACAAGCCATCTGTTTTCCTCACCAAGCCTTCTGGCTGCATTTCCATCACAGGAGTGTGGCGAGAGTGCCATCCTAGGCCTCTCAGGTCTGCCTTGCTGTGGAACCTGGATCTACCCTCTTAGCCTCTCTGGAGTATGGTCTCTTTGTGCCAATGACATCATTGGTTATAGTTGTTTTGGGAAACCCCTTCTGTCATTCAAATGCAAAACAAAAACACAAAATGCTTTGTAGAAATATTCACAAATGGGATGAAGCTTATTTCAGCTTAAACTCTGAGAGGTGAGACTGGGTTCCTTACATGTGTGTGATTATGTGACTTCAGATCCCATTTTAGGGCTCAGGGGTGCAGTGCTTTGGTTTTTGTTTGTTTTTATACTATGAAGTGCTTCCTGGCACTCAGATTTGCTGATTGGAGGATCTGGGCAAGGATCTGATTTCTGTTTTCTGGCCACAAGACATCAACAAGAGCAATAACAAAACACCTACCACTGGTTCCTCACAGGATGTGCTTCCTGGGTGCAGTGGGTGCTCAGGGAGAGGCAGGGACTTCAGCACCCCCTGCGGTACCCAGTCCCATGGAAAGTAGGCAGAGGGCTCCAGAGAGATCCTCCTCCTGTTCCCCTTGCTGCCAGCACAGGGACATTATACCTGTCGGGCTGGTTCCCCGTGTTGCTTTGTACCTGGAGCACTAGGCCTGTCCTAAGCCATTTGTTTTTAATCTGCTCCACATCAAGCCATACATAATTTTATCCAAATATTTAGGGAGTGGCCTTTGATGCCTTTAAAGTTAGACTCAGAAATTTCCACCAGTGTCCTATTGAGTTTCTTTCATGGAAGAATGGAAAAATGCCTTAGAATTGAGCCGGGAGAGACTGCAGCAGTCCCAACTGAATTCTGTTTTCCCTATGGGTAGAAACTGAGGCTCAAGGATGATCCTGTGGTTATAGAAGCAGAGAAGCCTGAGCCAGGGCTAATCCCAAAGCTGCTGAGTCTGGTGACGCAAGAAAGTCTGGCCAAGGGCACTCTGGGTCAGAACCCAGGCACGAGGCTTACCCATCCAGAAGGTGAGGTCTCTCTGTTTGGCCGAAGACAGAACTTGCCCACTAATCCATCACTCCACAGGTCAGGGTTGGTGGGGAAGCAGGACCCCTCCCATTCGTATGCGAGCAGTGTATGTGGTCAAAGCAGCCTGGCTTAGCCTAACCTCAGTGTTGTGGTCCTCCTTGTGTGTCACTTGGGAAGCCACCATTCCCTTGACGCATGTCCCTGCCGTGTGCAGGAAGACCGCAGCTCACAAGGGTTCTGCTTTCATCTGTATCATTGCTCTGAGTGCTTCTAACACTGAGCACATTTGCGGGTGGCGCCCCGTGTGCCTGGAAAACGACGCCTTGATCTGTAGGCCAGGAAAGGAGGGCAGGCGCGTGATCGCTGTGGTCCCCCTGCGTGGAGAAGCACAGCTTTCTAACCCAGATGGGAGCAGAGCCACGAGGACAGTCGCTGCCCTCAGGGCCCACCCAGGCATAGCAAATATAAAACCATGACTGAATATGAAGGGGTTCAATGCTGTAAGATCAGGAAAACCTGCTCTCTTCTACTCCTCTGCTACGGGCTGTGTGTTGGCACACGTCCAGGTCTGTCTGTCCTTGAGATCCACCGAGTGGGAGCTGTGTAATTCATCTTGCTTCAACCCCATGTCCAATACCTTGTCCCCAGCACCACTTTCACAAAGCTCACTAGAAGGGAGAGGATTCAGGTTTCCATTTTCTCTCCTTCTAAGGCACAGAGGGTTTCGGACTTCAACTTACTCTTTCGAAAAGACTGGCACAGGACCGAGGCATACTCTGGCCCAGTGATGTGTTTGTTTTCTTCGCAGCCCTTACTGTCTGTTGACAAGGAAATCATGGTTTTAACGTGCTCTTCATCATTGACGCATATGTAACACTGTTGGCACTTCATCAGCTGAAGAGAAGCCATGGAATGAGTCAGTCCCATTTAATAATATATAGCTATGAATTTTAATTGAAGTACAAATGCTGAATTATTTCCCGTAAGGCAGCCACAGGGAACAACTCCCTCACTGACGTCAAGAAAGGAGGTAATGGGGGCTACCTCACCGGCGGCATTTGCCAGAGCATTAAAGATTCTGAGGCAACCGACAATAGTATGGATGAGAAGTGGGAAAGGCTGGCTGAGTCCACGTCCAGAAACAGGAGCCATTTGGCCCAGACTGAACCACAGGTCCGAGGTTACACGCACTCCCCACCTCCTGCCAGGAGGCCCGAGGAGCAAGGTTACCTCCCTGCAGTCCCAGCAGCCCACCCACCAATCCCTTACTCCCAGCGTGACACAGTGCCTGTTTGGTTTTGGATCTTGTTGATTTCTTCAGACATCCACAAGTAGAGGGAATATCAGTCACTTGGAGCCTGAGTTAGAGCTGCAGATTCATTCTCTCTCTCTCTCTCTCTCTCTCTCTCTCTCTCTCTCTCTCTCACACACACACACACACACACACACACACACCCTGGCCTTCCTCTTCCTCCTTGTAAATCACGAATCATAATGTTTTCAGCACCTCCTGCTGACCTCTGAGGCCAGGCTAGTGTTGGCCCTGGAACAATCTTAGCATTGCTCCTGTTTGCTCAACAAAGGACGCACTCGCCGTGTGAAAAGCTGGCTCATGAGTCAGCTCTGGCTGCAAAGACCTTGTTAAGGACCCACAGCACAACAAGCGGACAAGGTGTTCCTACCTTCTCTTTTCTTTACATGTTGTTAGGAGGAAAGGATGAAGCTCCATTTATTCTCAAGAGGCACCTTTGCTGGGTAGTTGATATGGTACACGGAGGGGAAGAAAAAACAAAAGGAGAACAAGACAAGGCCCGAATCTCTTTCTTTAGTAGGCCAGCCTCAGAAGAGGCATGAGTCAGGGTTTCCCAGTATTGTAGCCTATAGTCCCTTCTCCAACTCACAAATCATCTGCTTTTAGAGGGCAAAATAACTTTCAATATAGAAGACTGAGTAGTTTAATTTTTCTGAGCCTCCATTTCAAGAGTGAACCAAGTAGCATGTGTGTGTGTGTGTATGTGTGTGTGTGCGCCATTTCAAGTGGACCAAGTAGCATTTGTGTGTGTGTTGTGTGTGTGTGTGTGTATGTGTGTTGGTGTGTGTGTGTGTGCACTCACGTACGCACACACCTCATACCCCTCTTATCGTACTCAGGCCCCCACCCACATGACAGCAGCGTGGTGCTGTACCTCTTAAAAATCCTATGCAGACCTGGGCTAAGCCTTCCTCTCTTCTTCCCAATTCATGTTTTTGTCTCTGAGTTCCTGCCTGGTAGTGGGTGGGGGTAGAAGCAGGGACAGAGCAAGAAGAATTTCCTGTTCTGTCTCATCTTTCTCCACTTGTGAACCATATATCCCATTGTTTCAAAGGGTTATAATCATGGTTGGCATTTATAAAGCTTTTTTATGGTCTTGAAGTACTTGGCAATCATATGTAACTACATAATTATCTTTAAAAATCATCAGTGAAATCTTTATTTGGTAGATGAGAGAAACCAACAATCACAGGGAATGTGGCTTAGCAATGTGCCGGTCATGCAGAATTAATTCCTGAGCCAGTGTCTGGGTGAAAATGCTCTACAGTTGGCTGATAGAGGTGTATGCACAGCTGAATAACATTTTATCTCTTTTTTTGAGAAACTGGAAATGGAAATGATCAGTATAAAAGAAATGGATGTTACGGTGGAAGGATTCTGGTAGAGGTAGCTGGCAAACATCAGGTGAATTTGTAGAAGGGAGTGGGTGTGCAGAGAAGTGACCACTTAACTGAGCCTGCAGTGGCCGCGCCGGACAGCAATCACGTGGCCTGTCCCATTCTGCCTCCTCCCGCCCCCACCGCATCCCCCAGCCTCCTGGACCAGGAGGCTGAATCCGTACTTGGTATCCTCTGGTCTTCTGAAGTATCCAGGCTTCGGAGAAGTCAAGTGAGTTCATATTAAAGATGGTGTATTTTGGAGTTAGGTGAATGGGATTTCTACCATAGATTGCCTTGGAAAGTATTTTGACAAGTGCTGAGAAACTTCGAATAAACACCAATTAAAGGGGAAGTTTCAGTGCATTTGCCTGGGGAGAGAGGCGTGACTTCAGTCAGTGGGGTGTAGCCCTCAGGGCCTGGGCCTCCTACTTAGAAGGAAGGGAGTTGTCTGTCAGAAACAGCCAAGGGAGCCTCTGGCCATCCTCAAGCCCTGGCTGCTGCTCAGGCCTTTTCTTCTCCACAGGAACCTGCAGAACTTTCCATGCTTATGCCTGGCAGTCTGTCTATGCAGCGCCTCCCTCTTCTGTGTCAGAAAAGGGGAGCCACGGGGGCCTTCCAGCCCTCAGGTCTGAGGTCCGAGAAGCCGAAGCATTTGGGAAAGTTAGTAAATCTTTTCATCAAATCAGAAAGGCATGTATTACTTTATTAAGGAAATCTTTTAGAGTGAGTATCACAAAGAGAAGGAGATTTCAGAATCTTAGTCATTATTGGAAGAAAGTCACCTCAAACTGAAGTTAATGGGGCCAGTTTGCTTCATTTAAAACCAGT